CGCGTGCGCCCCGCCCGCTCCGCTCGCGGACTCAGCCGGCGCGTGCGCGCTCCAGGGATTTCGCGCCACTCCAACCCGAGGGGAGGGGCCGGAAGTGCCCCGAGCACGCGCGGCTCCACGGAGGACGGAAGCCGCGGGAGGCGGGCGATTTGCTTAAGTGAAAGTGAAGCTCGCCGGGCGGGCCAGGCAACAGGCTTACGCATGCGCACTTCGGCCTGTTAGGCGCAAAGACGCTTTAGCTGAGGGGGGTGGCCGGGGCATGGGGGCGGGGAGAAGGAAGTCTCTTCCCGGAAGAGGCGGGGGTTGTGGCTAGAGCGCGGAATTCGAAAGTACTCTGGGCGCCAAGTTCTCGGGGCTGTGTCGTGTTATTTGCTTGTTCTCTATTTTTAAGAAAATTCAGGAAGTTGGAAGCAGTAGTTAGACTTCAGGCCCAACTGTAAATGACGAAGGGGCTTCTTCCAAAGCCAAGCAGGAAGGGCTGTCCGGGTAAGTCCTGCGGGACGGTGGAGAGATCAAGCGCCCCTTCCTGTGGCGGCCGGAGTTAGGGGTGAACTCGGTGTTGGCCCCCGGGTCGCAACCGACCACCTTCAGCTTCCTCTAAAAATGTCTTCTGTGGCTTCATTTTAGTGCGCACCCTGAGCCAAGACGTCCGACCCACCCGGCTCAAGTTCTCAGGCCTGGCCTTGAACCGGTCCTGCGACTTACTCCCAGAAAGGTCTCCTGCCACCCTGCGCTCTGCTCCCCCACCCGCTTTCCCGAGGCTACTGGGCCCCGATGTCCCTCCCTGTTATTCCCAGGGATGGACTCCCACGCCTCGCTGAAGGTCATCGGGCCAGCCTTCCCCGATGCCCAAACGCGACCTGGTGGTGTCCTTTCCGCGTAAAGTGCAGATAGACAGTTATTTGGGTTGTGATGCCTAACTTTTTCTGCCCTACGCTAATCGATACTGTAAACCCCTTAAAGAATAACGAACCAGTGAAGTTCGTAGGTGTCGTTTTCCAATCACTTTCATTCTTTATACAACCCTTTATAAGTATACTGATTATATTCTGTAACCTACCTTCCTTCCGTACTTCCAAATCTTCCTCCTGGATGGGGATCAAATCGATGTCAAAGTTCTGGCTTCCATTTACTAAATTCTATCAATCAAAAGCACTTTTATGTTTAAAAGGAGTAAAGTATGTTCAGATATATCAGGATAATCAACTATATACTAATTTAATTGCCATGTACTAGTTTAAAGTACGACAAAATGGGTTGAAAATGGGGCCTTCTTGTTTTAGAAATGAATGGGGAATACAGTGGAGTAATCCTTGCTTAGATGACACTTCACTTTGCCCCAAAAGAGGTGGGGACACCTTTTGTCTGTTTGCTCCTCCCACATTTTGCTCTCCTTCACTGGCCCTGCTGTCTGAGAATAAAGTTACACTATCCTTTTCCCCTCACCTTACCCAGGACTTTAAATCTAATCCATTGAATCTCCAGCATCTAGGAGCATTTCTAATAAATATTAATAATGATATGATTAATAAGTAGGCTTCAAAGTGTAGGGTACATTTATATAAAAAATAAAACTGATTTTAAAAGAAATATTACTTAATGAAATGTGATAAATCACATACAATAAATAAAGTCCTGCACTGATGCAAAGTTTACACCATTTGTCAGTCTATATGAAAGTATAGGCATTTAAATGAAAATTGGGAGATTTAATTGTTCTGTCTCATCTTGTATAATTTTTTGCTCAACATTAAATTAGAAAGCCTGACTCAGTGCAATGCACGTTATTGCATAAATCAAGCACTGACTTTATGTTCTTTAAATTTGATTCATTAGTGGAATTAGCAAGGTACTGTGTTTTTCTCACCTCATTCAGTTTTATAATTAACCAATAAAAGCTTAATAGCTTTTAAGGAAGTTTAAGGAGCATGAATTGATTTATGAACACCATATGGCTACATCAAAGGATTTGTTTGTGTTTTAACATGAAGTGCATTCTTAAACTCTTTAAGCAGAAATTGATGTTCTTTCTACTAAATGATCATTTCTGAAATAAGAGTAATAATCATTTACTCCAAACTACCAAAATTGTTCATCAGATTCAAAGTAATTCATCTGGTCTAATAATCTCACTCTGAAGAAAGGTTATATGTCTTCCCAAGGTCAGACAGTCAGTTATGTATCCAAGAGCTCCTCCCTAGGCTTTCTGTGTTCCAGTTCTAGTACTCTTTATGAAATTGAAGCCATCCGTAGGTTATGAAGCTAAGTTGCTATGTACTGTTCTGTCTTTGTTGACTCATGTAAGTATTTTTGTGTTCTTAAGACTTGTGAATATATTGAGACATTTTGTATGTACTATGTATTGATTGCATGATCATATTGATACCAGTAATTTCATTATGAGAGATTTGGTTGAGTAGAGACTCACCATATTCCACAGCACAAAGCTTCAGTTTTCACCCTATTAAGGAAATACAAAACCAAGCAAAATTATACATTGTTTTTGGTGAGCTTAATAGATGGAGTTTTTTAGATTTTACTTGATGAGCTATTTTCAAGTAACCTCCTCCTGTGGATGGTGACCTCATGAAAGAATCTTTGTTCTTTCAGTGTAGTTTGATATTTTAAAAGCTGTTGTGTTCTGTACCTTTTAGGAATTTTCTGTACCTTTTAGGAATTTTATGTGCTTTCATGGTGTTAGCCATTGCTATGTAATATCATTGCAGACAAAAAAAGTGACAAAGAAGGAAAGGCAGTGATGGAACTAGAGATCTTGGATAGAACTTAGGATGTCTCTAGGGAGACTGGCAGGATATCTCAAAGAAATGCCTCCAGCCCTCTTTTTTCTGGTTGTTTTTAGGATAGATCCTGCCTCCCATCCAGGACCTATAATTTGCTTTTTAGTTTCCATTGTTGCTAGGACCACTGACACTTCCCCCCTGTACCAGCTTCGCTTTTAAGGAGATAGAGTCTCATGGACTTTTCTGCCAGGGCTGGCCTGGCACCACAATCTTCCCATCTTGGCCTCCCATGTAGTTTGAGATGACAGGCACAATGCTGTCCCAGCTATCGGTTGAGAACATGATTTTTTTTTCTACCCAGGCTGGCCTAAAACTACAATCCTTTTGTTCTTAACCTCCTCAATAATTAGGATTACAGGCGTGAGCTGCTGGTTCCCATGCTGTACTTTGAGATACTATTCTACTTTTATAAATGATCTTCAATAAGAACTTGAGCTTTTGTGGTGGAAGGGTTGTGTGGCAGTGAAAGGTAGTAAAAAGTAGAAGCAGTAAGGCTTACTAGAAGACTTAACTTTTCGACAGGCAAAATTAGGGGAGTGGCATTAGAAATGAGAAATTTCTAATGTATTTTGGAGGTCAAATACTTGATAATCCATTGCTGTTTGGGGACAAAGTAAATCGAAGTATCAAGAATCACAGGTTTGTGGAGAAAGAATAAGACCACCATTTTGAGAAGCGGTAAAATCAAGAGTTGGATGCAAAGCAGGTTGTGGTGGTACATGCCTTTAATCCTTGCATTTAGGAGGCTGAAGCAGAATTGTGAGTAAGTAGCTAGCCTGGACTACCTACTTTACCCTTTCTCCAAAAGAAAACAGAAAAGATGTATATTAGTCACAATAGGAAGACAATAACCAGACAGATACTTCTAGTCAAGAACTCAGAGTATATCAGAATCAGTGGGATCAATAATATTAGAGAAGGCCAGAATAATGCAGAAATATTCCATTTCCCATGTGTTTCCTTGGTCCGTTGAACATTGTTGCTTAGCATATTACTGTATCTTTTAGTTAAAAATAGTAAATACTGTGTCATTATGCAATGATTCAAGGTCTAGGAGAAATTAATGATAAGTTTGGAGGATTAAAAACATTTGTTGGAATGTGTCATTAAAAAGAATACAGCTCTTTTAAAAAGTCATATTGATTTTTATCATTCAGAAAAAAAATAGTATATTCTGCAATAGCAATTCTTTGATGCTTATATTAAAAATAAGGCCTATATTTTTCAGTTGATACATGGTAACAGTACACTAAGGTACCTAATGATTCAGAAAGATTTGAGATAAAGAATATGACATTGAAAAGGATTGGTAATGAGACTTTTTTTCTGTCACATAATCAAGGGGGAAAAAAAAGAGGAGAGTGGTTTTAGCATAGACATAGTAACTCAAATTTTACTTCTAGGGTATCAACAGATATTTTTGTTATAACCATTTTTTCCTTATGTTTTCTTAGCTAATGTTCATAGCAGTGTATGTTTAAATAGCTGTTGTTACAATACTCTAGATGTTGGTTATGTTTTAAAATTACTTAAAATCGCTTTCAGACCATATGTATTTGGAATATGTGAAATTTAAGAATTTCTTGTTTAGACATGGGTCCCATCCCCAATGTGTTCATGTATATGTAGATACTCCAAAATTGGTTCCATAATAAAATTGCCCAAGTGGTATTCCTTATGCTGTCGTATACGTGTGGGCAACTTACATGAGACAATGGAGCCCTGGTAGGCAGGACTAAAAAAGTTAGAAGAGCCAGAGAAAAGATTCACCTTGACCAAGATCACATGTTTTTGTTTACTGTTTTGTGTTAGTCCTGGGTCTGGAAGTCAGGACCTGAGCTACTTGCTGTCCCTGCAGTTGTTTTTTGTTTTGTTTTGTTTTTTGCTCAAGGCTAGCTCTGTAACATTTGGGCCAAAGCTCCACTTCCAGCTTTCTGCTGGTTAACTTGAGATAAGAGTCTCACAGACTTTGCTGCCCTGGCTGGCTTTGAATCACAATCCTCAGATCTCAACCTCCTGAGATTCTAGGCTTGATTCATTGGTGGCTGCCTCTTTTTGTTTTAAAGTTTGTAATGATTTATTGAACAAATATAGCACAAAAGGAGAAAATGAAGGGAATTGGAAAATGAGCATCTCTCAGAAAGCCATATTGAAGTTGCATTTAATCTTCAAGGACTCAGATTTGTAAAGCATCACTTTTTAAAATTTCATCATGAATGTTATGCGTATTTGGCCTCTTAATATTTAGTCAAGAGGCAAACCATGTAAATATTGCTAGTTAGGGGCAGGTGCAAGATATCAGGCAAGTCGGTGGGACTCTTAAAGCCAATTTAAAAAGCATGAATTGGAGCTGTGGCTCTAGTAGTAGAGCGCTAATCTTGAGTAAAACAGATCAGAGACCATGCCTAGGCCCTGAGTTCAAATCCCAGTACTGACAGAGGAAAAAAAAAAGTATGGTGAACAATAATACATACATATAATTATTTTAAAACTAACAGAATACAGAGTTAAATACTTTGAAGAGTGATTCTTCCCATTCTTTTTTGACAGTTCTGGGGCTTGAACTCTAGGCCTGGGTGCTGGTTCAAGGCTAGTACTCTACCACTTGAGTCACAGCACCACCTCCAACTTTTCTGTGTAGTTAATTGGAGATTAGAGTCTCACAGACTTTGCTGCCTGGGCTGGCAATCCTCAGCTCTCAGCCTCCTGAGTAGCTAGGATTATAGGCATGAGCCACCAGCACCCAGCTCTTCTTTCTATTCTTAAGCTACAATCATGCCTGATATATAACTAGTACCTGTTCATTATACCCCATATATCTCTGTTTTCATTTTGGATCTTGGAGACTATTTTTTCATCAGTACATATGTTTCTCTACTGATGGACACTTGGTTCTTCCAAGTATCATAAGCAATGCTACCATGAATATTTATATAGTGTCAATCTGTGCACCTCTAATAACATACCTTAAAATAGATTTCTAGAAAAAAAATGGTTACATCAGAAGACATTTGATTTTAAATTTGGCAGTAACAATCGTAGTCACAATGAAATGAAATTAGATGAGTTATGATAATGTTCTTTGGTAACAATCTACTCCACTATAAATTATAAAAGACAAATGAAAGCAAAACTAAGAATAGATTTGTTTCCTAATGCTTTAAAGATCTAATTTCTTTTTATACAAATATCTTAGAAATTCTGTGTCTCCCGTTATAGAATTAACCACAATGTTTTAAAATAACTGAATCTGCCACAGTGTTAAAGTTAACCAGAACTTGATGTGAAAGACAATGCTATTAGTGGGCCACATTAAAGACTGGATGCTTGGTTGTGTTTAAATCTGTCTTTTTCTTTGTAAAGTGACATAATGTATATGTGTATACTTCATAAAAAAATGAGTGCACAAAATGATACTGATATTGGTCCTTGTAACATTGTATAATTAAAATTATAAAAAAAAACCCACTGGGAAAATTACAGATAGCAACACTTGTAGCATTTGTCTTTTCCTTACAATGTGAGAAAATTTAGATGCATTCTGCTGAAGGAAAAGAGTACAGTGGTTTTTATTTGGAAGGAGTCTGCATATCATCTTAATATATTCTTGCCTCCTACCTTCTAGTTTCGGATGTATTTAGTCATTAAGAAGATAGCAATCTGACATTGTGTTTGTCTAGTCACACTTGAACTTTATGGCAAGTGCTGTACATGTCTGACAGATAATTACAAATGAAAAGCATGTAGATGTTCAATATTTTAACGTTAGCCTATAAAAAATATCTAAGTAGCTGGGAGCCAATGGCTCACACCTGTAATCCTAGTTACTCAGGAGGCTGAGACCTGAGGAGTGCAGTTCAAAACCAGACCAGGAAGGCAAGTCCATAAGACTCTAATCTCCAGTAAACTACCAAAAAACCGAAAAGTGGTGCTGTGGCTCAAATGGTAGAGAGCTAACCTTGAGCTGAAGAGTTGAGGGACAGCTCCTAGGCCCAGAGTTCAAGCCCCATGACCGACAAAAAAAAAAGAAAGAAAATTTCTAAGTAGATGACAACAGAGTTGAAGAGACAGCTAATAGCAAGAAAAAAGCAGTTCCTACTTTTTTTTTTAATGTTTTGGGTATTTTTTGATTTGTTTCAAAATGCTGACTAATAAATAGCCAGGAGAAACATCTCAATTATCCTGAATTTGCACTTGCTCATAATATATTGTTTGAATTCCTGCTTTGACCTTTTGGGTTTAACTTTTTTGTTGTTGTTTTGATTTGGTGAAATGTGTTGTAGATAATCACCAGAATGGGAGTGAATGACTTGTGGCCAATTTTGGAGCCTGTTAAGCAACACATCCATTTGCAGAATCTCAGTGGGAAAACCATTGCAGTCGATCTCAGTCTCTGGGTGTGTGAGGCACAGACAGTAAAAAAAATGGTTGGAACGGTCATGAAGCCTCACCTCAGGTATAAAAATGCATATAAATGTATGCTTGCAAATGCAGTCATGGTGCCTTGGTTTTACTTTAAGTTTACTTCTCTTTTATCAAAATATATTTCATACATCCAAGTCTGCCTTTTTTTGTACTGACTTACAAATTTGTATATTAGAAACATCAGAACCACCAGACCCATGTATCTAACCTCTATTAAGCATAACCATCATAGCGCTTCCAATAATAAAAAGTAGGGTTTTGAGAGACATTATCTCCCTGTTTTACCTCTAGCCCACATCCAATCAATCCATCAAGTCCTGCCAGTTTTTCTTCTAAAACATACTTGGGGTTTATCTTTCCATATCCTCAGTCCTTGCCAAACTCTTTTCTAATATATACTGCTGAAACAACCTCTTCTTCTACCCCTTCCTTTGCTATTGGCCTGTTCTTCAAGTTTCTATATAGCAGCAAGAATAGTCGTAAGCCTTCGTAGCTTTGAAACATCTAATGGTTTTACCCAGCAAGTAAAATCAAATCCTAATTAATTAAATATAATATGTTTTATACTAGCTGAATATTCTTACCTTTTGGTAGTACTGCTATTTAGACTTTGGTTGTCAGTACAGTGATTAATATGTCAATAATTTCTGTATTTCAGGAATTTATTTTTTCGTATTTCATATTTAACTCAAATGGATGTAAAACTAGTTTTTGTTATGGAAGGGGTGCCACCACAGCTAAAAGCTGATGTCATAAACAAGAGGAATCAGATGCGTTACGGGACTTCTGGAAAAATGTGGTCTCAGAAAACAGGGAGATCACATTTCAAGTCAGTCTTGAAAGAGGTGAGCTTATTTATTCAGTTAATTCTGATTTGAATTGCAGAATACATGAACTCTATGAAGTTAATACATTTTAATACTTATTAACTGGGCTGCAACTAGAAGAATAAACAAAAAACTTTATGTTTTAGAGTAAAAACTGGCCTGAGTTCAGTCCTGGCTTCTGCACTGAGGAATTCTGAGCCATCAAAGGCAGGACTTTTCACTTATCTGAAGCACAGTTCTGACTCTGAACACTTTGCGGGAATGTGATCAAAATAAGAGAAAATGTCTCTAAAATAACTAGCACATCTGTCGTTAACTAAGCCCATTAAGGGCCTTTTCTCACAGGAACTTGGAACTCCTGCACTGGCTGTCAACAGAATTCCCTGGGTGGTGTACATAGTTTATCAGCATGCTTTTTGTATGGGACGTCCTCTGGGACCTTGGAAACAGAGTCCCAGGAGATGTTCGTGTTTGATCTCACACTGTCTCCTATCTATGCTTCTGGCAGGTATATAGGGTGCCTTTGGGAAGTACCCAGGCACAGTGGCTAAAATTCACATTGACCAGGTAATCATGTGCGTCTACACCAGGCCACAGCATAAAGATTATGTGGTTGAAGCCTTACACAAGGCCAAATTCAATCACCTTGATCACCAATGCATCTTGCATCCAGCTTCACCCGCCTCCCCCCCAAAAAAAAAAGTAATACACAGTGTAGGGACTTTGATCATTTTATCCTTTGTAACATCTTTAGCACATAGGTTCCCAGAATGTATGCGAAATTCCTGCTTCACCCATTAAAATTTTATGATAGCTTATCTATGGAATATTTCACTTTAATAAGGTATTGTAATTTTTTTAAGTGATGGTTACTAAATGCTAGTGTTTCACACCTGTAATCCTAGCTACTCAGGAAGCCGAGATCTGGAGACAGTGATTAGAAGTAAGCCCCTTCAGGAAAGTCCGTGAGACTGATCTCCAATTAAATGTAGAGCTCAAGTGTTAGGTGGCAGACTTGAGTTAAAAATCTAACAACACCCAAGTTCAAGCCCCATACTAGCACACACACACATACATTTGTACAAAATGAGTTATATTATTTATAATTTGTTATAGTGTATTTATGTGTGTATATATCTAATTAGATCCATATATATGTATACATATGTATTTATCTAGTTGCTATATGTGCATATGTATATATCTAGTATATGATTTTAGTTGATTATATACACATGTATAAGTAAAACTTTAAGAACCTATTAATTATTTTCTTTTCAAGTGTTATATTTTTAAAGATTTGCTATAATACTACACAAATCATTTTTATTATGGGCTTTTGCTTAACATAGCATCCATAATTCCTAGTTGTCACTTACTTTTGAAATGTAACGTAGTGATTGGTTAACTTGTGTCAAGCTGGAAACCCTTCCTAAGATTGTATGTATCATTTTCACTTTAGTTTCCTATACATGAACTTATAGACAGTATTTTTTGTGCATACACCTTTTTCTTGTGCTTTCTGATTTTATTTAAATTTACCAAAAATGAAATTGATAAAGCAAAATTTAGAATGTTTTTACTATCAGTACATATGTGAAATAAACAATTACATTGCACTCACAAGAAACTTGGATGGTTAATTAACTTTGTGTCATGCAAAAATACAGATATTTCATTTGGCACATGTTGACATTTTAATCATGAGATTAATTATCACACCCATTTTCAGTTTTTACTCCTTCATTAGGTCTCTTACCTACTTCTCTCTTAAGGTTGTTATTTTTGTTTTGTGCAAGGTCTTTGGGTATTAATGATACAAATCTTGTATTCTCTTTGAGTTCCAATTTGTCATTTCAATTTTGGCTTAAAACATATTTTAAAAGGCATCACATAAAAGAGTTACTCATCACATTAGAGTTACTCTTTTCCTCTCTGAAATATTGTCTCATTTCCATCCTTACGTGTTGCTTTTTTTTAATGTGGTTTTTAAGTACTGAATTATTCCACCTAATAATTTCCAATTGCTGAAGTAAGTGTCTGTGCTTCACTCTACTTCTTGTAAAATTAGTTCCTGGAAATTTTTGTGGACCTCTTCCTTAAAACATCACATATCTGGTATCGCTATCTCTTCTTAAAAGAATTGTTCCATTCCTGTTTCTTCATTACTATTATTAAATATTCCTGGGCATATACTATCAGCTAAATATTGCTCATCTCTTGTTTTCATGTTTCCTTGCTTTCAGTAGTAGACCCCACTTCCTTCTTATCCATTTCTTGCTTTTACAATTTCTGCCATGGGTTCTTTGAAAGGACACTTGGTAGCAGGAGCTGATATTTGCTTACTTTGAATGGATACTTTTATCTAAGATTAAGGTAACAATGAGACTGTAGAAAAAATAAATTTATCTGGCTATAGAATACCAAGAAGTAAAGCTTTGTCTTGTTTTTTAAGAAGGAAAGATAAATAAAGGCTTGCCATGTAAACCAGGCTGACATTAAGCATATAATCCTCCTGCCTCTGCCTTCCAAATGCTGTGATAACAGAGGTGCACTTCCCCACCCATAAGTACATTGTCTTTGCAGAGGTTTAATTTTCTATTTTAAAAGAATCTTTGCCTTTTGAAAACATGAATGACATTGCCCCATTTGTTAGGAAATGGAAAGGCTTGGAAAAAATTATATTAAGTGAAGTAAGCCAAGCCCAAAGAAACATAGGTCCCATGGTTTCCCGTATTTGCAATAAATAGTGTATGTCTGAGTCAAGCAGAAAAGGTCAGATAAGGTGATGTTAGGGGAATGAACCCCAAGATATGTATTCAAATGTTTTTTTCTTTCATGCGATTGTTTCTAACGCATTTATAAGATGATTATTTATAAGATGTTGCCTTGTATGTCCCTCCCCCACAGTATAACCCCTGCTTTCACTGTATTTGATGTCAGTATAGTTTGTGGAGGGGAAGGGCAAAAACAAGTCGTTTAAATAAGGATACAGGTAGACCCATTGCAGCAATGAGATGTACTAGTCCTTATGTCAAAAACGAACTTTACAACTTTGGTGATGGGGGAAGGATTGGGTGGGGGAGATGGGAAGGGGAAACAAAGGAGGAGGCTACAATGCTTGATAAGAAATGTACTCATTATCTTGCCCATGTAATTGTAACCCCTCTGTACAGTATTTTCACAATAAAAAAAATTAAAAAAAGAATCTTTGCCTTTTGAAAACTTGTCCAACTGGGCACCACTGACAGATTTTTTTTCTTATGTAATATAGCATGCTAGCAATTAATATGATCAATATGTGTTTATTAGTCCATAGATAGATGGAATAAATTTAATTCCTTAAACCAAATTGGTACTAGCATCTGCTTTGGAAGAGCTCATCTTGAAAAAGCAATTTCATAGTTTCACACACACAAGTTCTTAAAGACATTTCCAGAATCAGAAGATAATAGCATTGAACAAAACAGTGGCAAACAAATATGGGCTACTTTGTAATTGACATTAACAATCTAAACTTTTTCATGACAGAAAATTTTAAATTGGCTCAGAAGTAATCCAACACCAATCCATCAACAACTCTTTTGTCTCATGTTCCCTACCCACTATCTGATTCCTCCATTATCTTAAAGCAAATCCCACCTGTAATCCTGTATAATTTTTAAGATCTTATTGCTCTCTACCAGGTGTCTCTAGAAAAAGAAAATGAACAGTATGATGAGTACAAAAATAACTTAAGCACTGGAGAAAGTAATGTCTTGCACCTACTTTTTGTTTCAGTGCCTTGAAATGCTTGAATGTTTGGGAATCCCCTGGGTCCAAGCTGCGGGGGAAGCAGAGGCCATGTGTGCTTACCTCAACGCTGCTGGCCATGTAGACGGCTGTCTTACCAATGATGGGGATGCCTTCCTCTATGGGGCCCACACTGTTTACAGGAATTTCACTATGAACACAAAGGTATTTTATATTTTCTGTCTCACTTCATTGTTTATTTGCAAGATTTTTTTTTATTTTGATATTAATGAAAGTTTTAAACTCAAGGACTTGTGCTTACTCAACAGGTGCTTTACCTGTGAGTTTGGTCTTCAGAACTTTGTGTGCTCGTTATTGAGATAGGGTCTTGCTGCCCTGCCCAGACATGCTCCTGGATTGCAGTCCACCTATTTTTTAGGTTTCCTCTCCAGCTGGAATAACAAAGGCATTCTACCATGCTTAGCTTCTGTTGAGATGGAGTCTTGCAAAAAAAAAAAAACCTATTATTAGAGGTATCAGCCACCAATATATCCAGCTGCAAGTTACCTTTTTCAAAGAGCTGATTAGGCTAGAACACTGGCTGTAGTGATAAACCACCTGAGTAGCGAGTCCTGAATTTAAACTCCAGGATTGCCATGTGGGGAAAGGGAGTAAAATTACATACATGTAAAATGTTGACCATAATGCTTGCCGAATAGCACTTACTAAATAAAATAATGCTTACTGTTATTAAAATATACAGTAATTGCTTTTTACTCTTCATTTCATACAGAAGAAAAGATCTTGGAAGTTTGGACCATAAATAAGTTACAAATATTCTGAAGAGATATGTTATAAGCTCATTTAAACATTAGAATTGTATGCATGCATGAAAACATTGTCAAAAATTTTAAAAAGAACATTGACACATAGTTTATTCTCCTCAAAATGCAGACTTATCTACCAGACTGGACTTTTTTTTCACATTTTTGAACTCTATATCATTTTCATCAACACATCACAAAATTGTATCTGAGGTATATTGTTTTGACCAAGAATTACCTGTTTTACTATTTTATGCTTAAAAACATCTCCAAATGGGCAAAGACAAAACAACAAAATTTTTTTTTAAAAAAAGAAAATGCCAACACTCTTAGAGGAATGGTTAAATACCTTATAGTTACAATACAAGGGAGCCTGTGCCTAGACATCTCAAGGATTGTGGCCAGGCACACAACCTCCTAGCAAACAATCATGTTATCTTCTCCAGATGTTAAATAGTGCCCCACTGGGAACATCACCCGCAAGTCAGTGCAATCCATTACAAAGCTGTCATTTTAAAACAGTGTAAGTGCTGTCATAAACTTGATAAGAAATGTACTCGTTATCTTGCCCGTGTAATTGTAACTCCTCCGTATGGTATTCTCACAATAAAAAAAATTTTTAATAAAAAAAAGAAAGTGGGTGGTAATGAAAATAAAGATACTTAGACATACTACTGGAGAAAAAATACTGCAGTATTTTATTTAGTTCTACTTTTTTGTAGAGTTAATTCAGTATTAGTATGTGTTGAGGAAAATTGTTTTGTCTTTGAAGAACATGCACCAAGCTACTAAAAATAATTAACTTAGGAAATTCAATAATTACAGGGACTGTTTATTTTTTATCATATGTATTATAGGTCATACCTTTTAGACACCAAAGAACAATTCAAGAGAAGAAAAAATTTCCCCCATGGTTTATGTTTAAGCCATTTTTGAAGCTATGGCTGTCTATTGAAATGTGAAGATTATAGTGATTGAAATAATTTTCTAGTCTAAATTTAGGAATAAACATGTACAGAGCCAGGTGCAATGGCTCATGCTTCTTTGTCTAACTCCCTAGGAGGCTGCTATTTGGAAGAGTGTGGTTCCAAGCCAAAAAAAAAAAAAAAAAAAAACCAGCCCATAAAACCCCTTTCATGCAATAAAACTTGGATGTGATAGCACACAGGCATCATCTCATCTAAATGGAAAGGGTAAATATGAGGATTTTAGGACAGACTCATCTCATCCTAAATAGAAGTCCCTATTCAAAAATAACAGACAAAATGTGTGTGGATGCAAAGTGGGGACAAGGCTCAAGAGGTAGAGTCCCCTGCTTAGCAAACATAAAGCCCTGATTTCAAACTACAGTAGTAAGTAGATGATAGACAGGCAATCAGACAGACAGATAGATAAAATACCTAACCTTGGCAGATCTTTTTGTACTGTTTAATGAATGAGCACGTGCTACATTTTGAGGATTACTGAATGTGTACTTTTTTTAGGACCCACATGTTGACTGTTACACAATGTCATCTATCAAGAGTAAACTGGGTTTGGACAGAGATGCTCTGGTTGGACTAGCAATACTTCTTGGTTGTGATTATCTTCCAAAGGCAAGCAGAACTATATTCATTTACTTTTCATAGTGTGCTTTTTTTGCTACCTTACATGCTGTATAAATATGCATGTGATATGATTATGAGACTCTAATTAGAAATGTAAGCTTAAATACAATAAAGTACTCAGGAACTAAAATAATGAGCATTTCAGATGCTGTTAAAAAGCTGATTTGTGAGGCAGAATGTATGTACAAGCATAGAACAATAAGTAGTACTACAGATTGAATCTGAGTAAGCCACTGCACCATAAAAGCTGACGCATTCAAGTGTGACTATACTTTCAGAGAAATACAGAAATTGTTCTTTTGTTATATTGTTCCAGTACTAGTTTCTGTTCTTGTTTTGTCTATTTTTTAGTTTTCAGTATTCATCGTAGCTTTCCAGTTATGCATATGCCCAATGTAGCATTACTGTTGCTAAGCAACATGATTATTGAGGTGAGCCATTTACAATGCCTTTCAACATTGCATTGGGTTTTGTTCATGAAAACATTTTGTTCATGGCCTTAAAATGAACAGTTCTCTCTCTCCACACACATGCACACATGCGTACACACACACACACGCACATATACCTGAGAAGTTCAAAGAAGAGCAGCATATAACTTTTTTTCACTTAGGCTAAAAGAAATTAAAATATAAAAGGTATAAAATCATTATCTCTGATTTCTAACTTAAGTCTTAAATAGCTAAATATAGAAGCCAGTTTTTTCAAGTTAGTAAGCAAAGAAAGCAGGAAGAAAGAAACCTGTAACTACCACAAGCCATTTTATTGTAATTCTTCTGAAGTAAAAGACCCTTATTTTCCTATGTAATTATATTGTAATTAAAATCTAGAAATAGCTAACTTGAAACCAGTTTTAGTACAGAAATAATTACAATAATGAATTAAGCTTTTGATTTTTTACCTCTTGTATCCTAATTAAGCACTTTCCTTGAATATTTTTAATATTGTGCTCCATCAGGTTTTGCTTTGAGATGTAGCTAAATCATAATATAGGAAGGATGATACTCAAAATACCTAACAATTGACATGTCCAAGGTAAAGTCTAGAGAGAAGAGACTTTGTTCTGACTGAACAAGCTTCCATTAAATTTATGAGCTACCCTTTTGCCATTCTCTAGGTCTTAACATTTGAATTTATTTTTCTGCTTTGTGAAAGGGAATCCCTGGAGTTGGAAAAGAACAAGCATTAAAACTTATACAGATTTTAGAAGGGCAAAGTTTGCTTCAGAGGTAACTAAAACATTATTTTCTTGCAAGATTGGACTTTTAGTCTTGAGTTTAATAGTGATTATTACATAAATGATTGTGCATCCTAGAAAAGGGGTTTTATATTTTTAAACTGTTCCATGTTTTCACTTAAAGTAATTTGTTTATTTTGAAGTTTTCCAAAGGAAGAGAATATATATGTTCTAAGCCATATGGGATACATATTTTTTTAAAAAGTGTTATTCACTCACTAAATAGAATTAGTGTGGTGTCAAATGAATATATTTATTTAAAGTTATTTGTAACCATAGGCATTTTCAGACTAGTTTAACATGTTAAAATTAATTTTATATTGGAAACCTTAAATTGTATTTACTTTTTAATAAATGAAGTATATATAGCCTGTTGCAATTTTTATTTTTATATACTGGTAGTTTTTGGTAGTTTTCTGGAGATAAGAATCTCAAGGACTTTTCCTGCCCAGGCTGGCTTCAAACTTCTATCCTCAGATCTCAGCCTCCTGAGTATTTAGGTGGGATAAGAAGAAAGACTTGATCAAAGCTTTTATTTTGGTGGCACACACATATAATCCTAACCATGTGAGAGGTGGTGATGAGTAAGGGAAAATTATAGACAGGCAATAGTTAGCAAGACCCTATCTCTACTACCAAGGCAGGGGTTGTGGCCTTCATCTGTGATGCCGGCTTTGTGAGAGGCATGGGTGGGAGAGAGGATTGGAGTTAAGGTCAGTTCTGGGCACAAAGACCCTATCTGGAAGAATAACTAAAATAAAAAGGACTGGAGGTATGATTTTAGTGGTAGAACACCTGTCTAGCAAGCATGGAACTCTTGAGTTCAAAATACTAGTACTGCCAAAAAATAAATTTGTTTTGCTTTGGACTGTTCTGCAGCTACACATTTAGTAATACATTAATTATGGTAATTTTTTTCATATGTTTGTGTGCTTCAACTCCGGGCCTGGAAAGTTCTTGCTTAGCTTTTTCCACTCAGTGCTGACATTTTACCACTTGATTCACACCTCTGCTTCTGGCCTTTTGCTGGTTATTTGGAAATAAGTGTCTCAAGGACATTTCTGTCCAGCTGGCTTCAACTCATGATTGTCTGATCTCAGCCTCATAAGTAGTTAGGATTATAGGCATGAGCCACCAGTGTCTGGCTTCATTATAATTAATTTGAGCTCTATAATTTGGGGATTCAAGCTAATTGAAAATACAGCTTATATTGAAATTTACAAGCTCTACTATTTAGTCTTTTTAAATTACATGAGTTGTATTTACTTGCTGAAAGCAGTGGTTTATACAAATTAATATTAATTGTAGCAGGATATAGGATGAATAAGAAAGAAAGGAGCTAGGAAGATGGGCTCAGTGGTAGACTGCTTGCCTTGCATGCATAAGGCTCTGGGTTCGATTCCTCAGCACCACATAAGCAGAGAAAGCTGGAAGTGGCACTGTGGCTCAAGTGGTAGGGTGCTAGACTTGAGCTGAAGAGCTCAAGAGCTCAGAGTTCAGGCCCCATGACCAAAAGAAAAAGGAGACTGGAAGTCTTGGCTCTTGGTTTGGGATGGTGAATATCTGGAAAGAAATGCTAAGTGACAGGGGGCTGGGAAGGTGACTCAGTGGTAGAGCGCTAGCCTTGAGCTGAAGAGCTGAGGGACAGCGCCCAGGCCCAGAGTTCAGGCCCCACGACCAGACCCAAAAATAAAAAATAAAAAAAAAAAAAAGAAATGTCCCATGCAGTCTTTCCTATAAAGCTCTTGGCAAATCTAAGGCTTAAGTCCACTATTGACATCCATGACTATTGTGCTAAATGAGGAGAGAAGGGCATACTTGGTCATAGGGGTGAATGAGAGAACCATTTGAGAATAGAAAAAGAATAATATAAAAGGGAAAAGCAAGCAGATTCTGTGCTTGGCTACCTGCAAGACACTCTTACATAATAGTTTCAGCAAGTTTGTATTTTTTGGCGGTGTTTAGTATTTGTCAGCACTTGAAAATAATAAAATTACATGTCTTTTTGTAATTATAGTATGTTCTCTTTATTAGTTTAGACTAATTTTCCATAATTTTTAATTTTTTGAAGCACTATTTAGTATTTATCTGGAAACAATGTGAATTTTTAGTAAATGAAATTCTAGCAGCTAAATAATTATTCTAGGTGTTAGATATTACCCAGTGAACTCAATAACTATTCCTAAAATCTTTCATTAAATAAGTAGTGTTTTACTATTTGTGTTGGAGACCAAGAAATGATTATTTCAAGTGATCCAGATTTTTTTTTTGTCAATTATGGGGCTTGAACTCAGGGCCTGGGCATTGTCCCTGAGCTCTTTTGTTCAAGGCTAGCTCTCTACCACTTTGAGCCACAGCTTCCTTCCAGTTTTCTGGTGGTTAATTGGAGATAAGAGTCTCAGGGACTTTTCTGCCTGAGGTATCTTTGAACTATGATCCTTTGATCTCTGTAATTAGGATTACAGGCGTACCAGCACCTGGTTTGAGATCCAGACTTTTAAAAGTGTTAAATTAGTAGCTTAGCATTTGATTTGTCTTTATATGTTACTCTTGACTTTTATTTCCAATATAGAAAAAAATGTTAATTTATACAGTTGTATTTGTCTTGTATTCTGGCACAAAGAAGAGATCAAAATTCAATATCCAGATCATTCTTTCCACATGATGCTACCTATCAAAAGCTTCTTTAAAAAGCAGGGTGAATGCATAGATATAATTTTATATATACACCCATACATACAACACATTGTCCTCTTAACAAATTCTACTCTCTGTCATTGAGGCCACATTCCAAAACTTGTCACTGTGGCTTTTCCCAAGCTAGGCTATCAAATTGATCGACATTACAGGGAAAATAATTTGATGGGTTAAAATGAAATAGACTGACAGTTGCCATTTTTATGACCTAGCTTATTTTTTTTCATTAAACATTTTTCTGTTAAAGGTTTAATCAGTGGAATGAAAAATCTTGTTCTGCTACTTCACAACCACTAGCCACTAAAAAAGTGGCTCATTGCTCTGTGTGCTCCCACCCAGGTAAGCAGAGCTGAAAAATAGCTCTAGAATATTAGACTGACCCCCTTGGTCTTATTCCTGTTCCCACTGTACTTTTACATACCTTTATAAACACTGTGAGGTCTTCAAATGGTCCTGCCACTATATTGAGAATGCCTTGCAGTTGTCAGGAGTTGTATTATATCCACAAAGAAGGCACTTTGTGAATGTTTTTGGAATGAAATAATGTAATTGAAATGATAAATATAGGAGAAGTACAATTTAAACCTATTATATCAAATTACTTGGATCTTAACATCATCTTTTGATTTATAAACTCATTTTGTGGAGTGGGGAAACAGAGTCTTAAAGGGAAATGAAACCATTCCTTTTACCAGTGATTTATATTTACATTATTAAAACTTTTTTTGTCTTATGTTTTCAACTGGGTGTAAAGATCGTGACTTAAAACTAATTTCTAATGCACATTTGTTCTTCTTGGAAATGCATTGGGTCTTCATTAGTCTTAGTGAAACAGAGATGCCATTGAACATAATATTGGGTCAGAAATGCCTTTCCCTCCGAAAAGAGACTAGGAGATCATGTTTGATCATCTCTTAAAAGAAATTCAACTGTATTTATATCTCTTAATATGTTTTTGTTAACGTTTTTAAATTATAAGTTAAATCCTGTGAGAAATACATAAAATACCATTTTATATTTTCTATGATTACAAGTGACAAGGTTTTGGTCATGCCAAATACTGCACTCTTCCATATCTCAAAACAATACTGAAGGTTATCACTCTTGCTTTTAAAGGAAATTAGAGCCCCTACACCTGTTATGCAGTCATATTCTGTTCATGTTCCTGGCACAGTTTAAAAATAACTATACCCATAACTCAGAGTCACATCCTGGAAGAGGTAATTAACTGGTATATTCTTTTAATATTCTACTTAAAAGAAGTCATGAATTTTTCTAATAAATGAATCCCTTACTAATAATCTGACTTTTCTAGCATGTGGCTAGTACAGATGCCAGAAAGTTCTCCCGTTACTGATTATTAATAAATGTGTACTTTCAGATTACAAATTTAAACTTTCAAATACAAGAGTAATTTTTAAAGGTGTTTTGTGGTAGGATTAAGTTCTACTTTACCTCAAGATTTACTGTAGTGTGCATTACACTATTCAATCTATGTATGTTGAAACCTTTATACTAAACACTAAATTTTAAATACTAAATTTTAGATCGTAGCAAAACAAACGCAAGCATTTATAAGACAATTGTAAAAAGCAGTGAAAGTTATACTTCTTCAATGTCTCCAAAAAGGTTCACCTAAGGATCATGAGCGTAATGGCTGCAAATTTTGCAAAAGTGATAGGTATTGTGAGCCCCATGATTATGAATACAGCTGTCCTTGTGAGTGGCACCAGTCAGAACATGATAGGCAACTGCATGGAGTAGAGAACAATATTATGAAGTAAGTTTGTTTTAAACACTCTTTTTTTTCTGGCATGCTCTATATATGTCGTTAAATTATTTGCACATTAAATCTCACCCACATGTTTACATTAGTCATGTTTTGCATATTCTTTTCTTGATTCTATTTTTTTAAAATCCAGCCAAGCATAATTTAGTAATTTAATAGCTCTTAGGAGTAGCTTCATGATTATTTAAGATACTGTATATGAAGCCAGGTGCAGTGGCTCACACATATAATCCTAACTACTCAGGAGGCTGAAATTGGGAGGAGTGAGGTTCAAGGCCAGTCAAAAAGTTAGCAAGACTTCTCCCTAACCAGTAGATGCATAAACCTGTCCTCCCAGCTACACAGGAAGCTAAGATCAGATGACTTGTGGTTCCAGGCCATCCCAGGCAAAGAAATTCCTGAAAGAAAAAGCTGGACATACCTGTCATAAAAATTTTAGGGAACCCAAAATACGATCTCAGTCCTAGAAGGTTCCCTGGCAATAGAGGCTCCATCTCAAAGTATTAAAAAGGGTTTAAAAGATAGCTCAGTGGTAGTGCACAGAAGGATAGCTCAGTGTAGGGTGCTTGCCTAACAAGGATAGGGTACTGAGTTTAAAATTTGTTTCCAGGGCTGGGAAGGTGGCTAAGTGGTAGAGCGCTTGCCTTGCATGCATGAGGCCCTGGGTTCGATTCCTCAGCATCACATAAGCAGAAAATAAAAAGGCCGGAAGTGGTGCTATAACTCAAGTGGTAGAGTACTAGCCTTGAGCTGAAGAGCTGAGGGACAGCGCCCAGGCCCAGAGTTCAGGCCCCACGAATGGACCCAAAAAAAATTTTTTTAATAAAAAAATAAAAAGAAATAAAATAAAATTTATTTCTACCCCTCAAAACCCCAGGAACAATACAGTACATAACTATTTTTTAGTAAGTGAGAAGATATTTGGTGAGATTTTTTTAGGGTCTGTGTAAAGTTGCTTGATTTAGTAGTGAAGTACATATAATGTGTGTATAACTAAGTAGTAATATGTATATACTTAATCTTCAGGAAAGCTTGCCATTGTGAGGGATTTCCATTCCATGAGGTAATGCTGTTATTCAATTGTACATTCCTTTTGCGAAATTTTTAGACATTTTAAAGTCCTGATTTTCATTTATTTTTTTTTCACTAGGTTATTCAAGAATTCCTTGTGAACAAGGATAAATTGGTAAAGGTTATCTGGTACCAGAGACCTAACTTATTACTCTTTCAGGTATCTGAAAATAAGTGCTTCCTTGGTAGTACAAAGTTAGATTCAGAAAGATTTGATTAGTTTAAGAGGAGGTTTAACAATTAAAACACATAGCTATTGTTTACCTATATGCTTTTCACTATTTATGTCTTTATTCCTCTGCTATACAATGGCCACACTTCAGGGTCTACACCTAAAGCTGTGGAAGGCAATATAATATACAAAATGAGATAAATTTGAACAGTCATATAGTAAATGAAATCCAAGGTCATATAGCTAATGACCTTGGATATGTATTGTCATCAAAATAGAAATATTACTTGTGTCTTACAGCCACTATAAGCATTAAAACATATGATTTATATTAACCTAACAATAGTTAAAAGCACAGAGAAGTTCAGTAAATTGTATGTACTTGCTATTTGCCTCCACCATCAACCACAGTAATGCCATATTAGTAGTAACATGTATTGGACACTTGAAAACTACTATTAGATTTAATAAATTACATATATTCTCACTTAATCTCACAATCTGTGACCCAGGTTATATTATGTTCTTTTTGTAGATGGAGAAAACAGCCTATAAGAGGAATAAGGAATGTAACCAGCATCTAGGAAATATTATACTAGTATTAAAACCAAGAAGTCTTTCAATATCATCATTATATAATACTTCCTCTTTAGAAAGCTTCTTGCTTTTTCTGACAATGTTCTCAATAATACTGCTTCGTTGCTAATTTAAAAGGAAAACCTAGTATCACCAGAGAATATTATTTGTCTCTAAGAGTTTTTTTTCTAAATCTTGTTTATTTTATTTACAGAGATTCACTCTCGAAAAAATGGAGTGGCCAAATCACTATGCCTGTGAGAAACTATTGGTGCTTTTGACCCGCTATGACATGATTGAAAGAAAACTTGGTAGAAAGAACTCTAACCAACTGCAGCCAATCAGGTATGACTTAAAGAATTGTATGATGGGGGCTGGGAAGGTGGCTCAGTGGTAGAGCGCTTGCCTTACATGCATGAGGCCCTGGGTTTGATTCCTTAGCACCACATAAGCAAAGAGAAAAAAGCTGCAAGTGGCACTGTAGCTCAAGTGGTATAGCGCTAGCCTTGAGCTGAATTGCTGAGGGACAACGCCCAGGCCCAGAGTTCAGCCCCCATGACCAGACCCCCTCCACCAAAAAAAAAGGAATTGTATGATGAATATTCAGTGTTTAATTTGAATACCTGATAATGTGAAATATTCTCAGTTTCTCTCATTGTGGGTTATGTAGCTCTGAGTTTTTTCAAGGTGGAGGCAAGGCCTGCTGGGATATTAGAACCATATTCAGGGCTCACAGGGCAACATAGTAAGGCATACTCTGTTACCTAGTAATTAGAGATACTGCAAAAAAAAATACATATAACAAGGCTTATTAACAAGTTAACTATTTCTATGAACCAGAAAAGGAACAAGGGAATAAAGTATATGAGGAGACAGAAATAAGGCCTTGGATTCAGAACAGCAGCAGCAGTAGAGATAAATCACCAAAAGTTAAAGGATAAGCAGAAACCAAAAATGCAAGAAGTTTGGTGGAAGCAGCCTTATTTCCAGTGAGGCTAGAATTTCTCTGTTCCTATCTGAGTAGAGGCTGGGATAGTTAATTAAAACACCAACCAAAACATGCTGGAAGTATTCAACAAAGGATTAGAGGTAGAAGTGAGGGCAGAGATAAAGTACAAAAAAAATAAAAAACAAACACATCGAATATGAAAAATCCAATACATCAGAAAACAGCAATTGCATCATGAGTTCACTCCAGATTAGAAAGAAAAAGAAGTCCTAAGAGAACAGGTTGTTTAAATAAAAAGCAATAAATGGGACTCTGGATAAACTTGGTCAAAGTAAATTAGGAAATTGAAGCATAGTGCTGATCAAATCAGAGAGAAGACATCTTAAAGACTCAGATAAAAAACACTTGAGAATATTTGACCTATGTAATAATTTATTTCCAGTATACTTTTAGAAGCTGATAGAAAAGTGGAGAAATGGTTTACTTATTTGTTATTTTTGCTAGCACAAATCTGTTGTATGGGAGCTGGTGCTCATTGATATTTCTACACACACATACAGTGTGTATGGCATTCAAGTCCTGCTTCCATTCTTATTCAATCTTAAAATTTTGTCAACAAGTTCCATTGTTCTATTTTCATGCATGCATATAGCATGAGAAGTAACTTTTGAAGAGTTCATATCTGAGTTTTCTAAAATGTAAGACAAAATGTTCTTCGATCAAATCATACTACAAGTATAAGGCACAATAAGCAAATCCAGTGTATTATAGATATTAAACATGAAGGGAAAATATTAGAAAGGGTCAATTCAGGGAAACAGGAATTTACAATTAAAAAAAAAAAAACGAAAGCCAAAATAAGACTTATGAATCTCAATCAGCCCAGATACAACAATAGTCACAGTAAATGTAGATGGATTAAACTTTATCTATTAAAATACTGATTATATTAGATGAGTAAAGTTCAGCAATATTGTGTTTATAAGGAACAGGCAAAACAATGCTATAAAATATTTGAATGCTACACAGCATTCAAAACATATTTAAGAAGATTTATTGACAAATGTCTACTAAATAATGAAACCAAGTAGACTTTAAAACAAAAATCATCATAGAAAAAATTATTATATATTAATATTGTAATATTAATATCCAATATATTGTATGCATATTGTATATTATGTTGCTGTTATAGAATAATAAAAGGAACAATCACTGAGAAAGCCTCACATCATATACAGTATACCTTACAAAAAACGTACTCTTTGAAGCTAGGCACAGGTGGCTCACACATATAATCCTAACTACTCAGGCGGCTGAGATCTGAAGGTCCCAGTTCAAAGTCAACCCTGTCAGAAAAGTCTGTGAGACTTATCTCTAATAAACTACTCAGAAAATGCTGAAGTAATGCTGTTGCTCAAATGGTGGAGCACTAGCCTTGAACAAAAGCAAGTTAGAGACTGCACACAGTCCCTGAATTCAATCCCTAAGACTGGCAGCAAAAAAAAAAAAAACTTTTTTTTACTCTTCAATAAACTACTTAAAGAAATAACTGACAGTAACTCATTATATCTTTACTTAGAATAAAAGATGAATAAAAAATGAATTATTCAATCTATGATTGAAAGTTCCTAACAACCTCATACACTTAGACCTCAGTGGATAACTTTATTTTTCAGGATTGTCAAGCCCCGAATCAGAAATGGAGTCCGTTGTTTTGAAATAGAATGGGAAAAGCCTGGTATGTATTTACTGTGAGAAAAATCTTTTATTTACAACATTTGATCATATATGTTTTGATATATATATATATCATATATTTGGTCATATATACATCATCTGCTTCTTCATTTAGTCATGTTATTTTAAAGAGACCTTGATTAGTAATAAATATAAACTTTAAGTTATGTGTTTAATCTTTCTTTTCCAATGATTAGGAAAGTTATGCCCAAAGGGTTTTGACTTATCTTTCTTAAGAAAAGCCTTCTACAAATGGTCTGGTTATCAAATTTCATGTATAACCTGATTTAGAGCAATCAAGTCTGCTAAATAGTAGCTAGATTACTCTTCCTCTTTACTCTGTTTAGTTCATGAGAATTTATAATAGTATATTTTTTTAAAACCTCATTTTTCCTACAGAAAGAGATACTTTAAACTCTGACTTAGCTCATAAACTAGAGGCAAGTAAAACACAGATAATTTAAAATGGAAAGTGATCCCAAACTCATTTCTATTTGGCTTTTAAATTAATAAGTAGTAGATTAATAAAGGTAGATTTGTTCAAATCTATTGTATTGAACTTTGAAGAATAAAATTATAAAGAATTAGATAAACGAATCTAGGCCATAACAGGAAGATAGGAGGCTGAAAGATTTTGAAAATTGTGTTGCAACAATTCCACTAACTAATAAACCTTCAGGATAGAAAGAGAGATTTAGCCAGTTTGACAGTGTGTCATCCCTGTCTGACATTCACATCCCTTCATCCTATAGAACTTTCCTCTAAGGAGGAAATATATCCCAAGCTAGTGTGAGAAACATGTTAAGGTCACATGATTTCTATTTTTATGCTTTTTGTTTTTGATATCTTCATTATAATTTGGATTCTCATACATTTTTCCCACATGTAGAATAAATACAAAAATCTAACCTACCACTTACATATCATATTGTTAGTTTACACCTGACATTCTTGTTTTTGTTTTTCAGATTCATATCAATCCAGTAAAACTGAGAATATCCTCCAGGAAGACTGAGGGTATAGCTCAGTGATAGAGCATTTTTCTAACTCCCACTTGGTTCCATCTCCAGTGCCATAAACCATAAGAAAGGAAAAGAGAGAGAGAATACCTCTGAAATAGCAGTCTAGGAAATTGTAGTCTTTTTGAATGCCCAGTTCAATTCTGTTCTTTTCAGAAACTATCACTTAAAGAAAGTTGATGTTAAAGTTTTACAAAACAAATCCCTTTTTTAGTAGACTTCTTCAGCTAAAAACCAACCACCTGTATCCAAAGAAAACATTTTTATACTCAACGCTGCTGCTGCCATCTTTGAGAGAAGAGAATTTAAAGCCTTAACCTGAAGGAATCTCCTTTTAGCTCTTGCCAGGCAAAAGAAAATAAATTCCTTCCTTGTATCAACAGACTATTAGATAAATCATGTTACAAGCAAAATTTACGAATGACCAATTTGTGGATGATTTAGTTAAACTTGTTGGTAAACTTATTGACCTGGAAAAAATTATTTTTCCTATGTGTAATTAAGGTTGCTTTGCTTTCTTTTTGATCTTTTAGAACATTATGCTATAGAAGAAAAACAACCTGGAGAACTTGGTCTACTTACAGTTGAAGAAGAATCACTATTTCAAGCAGCCTATCCTGAGATCGTTGCTCTTTACCAAAAACAAAAGCTGGAAGTTAAAGGGAAGAAACAAAAAAGTAAGTATTGGGCTGGCTAGCTATATACACCACACTAGTTCCATCTTTTCTGTTGAGTTTATCTTGTCTAAACTTTGGTGAAAGTTCTATGAAATGAAGAATAAAAGAAGTATGATATTCTTCCTTGTCTTCATGAACTTTGTGTGTGTGTGTGTGTGTGTGTGTGTGTGTGTATTCATGACTGTTAAACTTTATTTGCAGTGCTAGGCAAGCACCCTCCCATTGTGCTATATCCCCAACACTCCTAGCTGAAAAGCTAGGAGTATACTGTCTGTCTCTGAGTCTACTCAACCAGGTGTTAATAATAATGTTTACCAGTTTTAAAGCAAAATAGGACTTTTTTTAGTTATAAATGCATTTTATTTCTTGCAACTCAGTGAGGAACACAACTCAATAACCACAGTTTCCAAAGGATAATGTTTGACAACTTTTCTGTGAATTCACTGAAGGGGGAACAAAGGCAAAAGTGGCTACTATAGTTTCTTATCTGAACTCTTCATTTTTTAATCTAAGTTAAGGAAAAGAAATAAGTATTAATTATACTTTTTTTTCTTTTCAGGTGTGAAAGTTAAGCCTAAAGAAAACAATTTGCCACAATCAGATGATGTAATAACTTTCCAATCACCTTTGACTTTAAAACCCATGTGTGAAGTTTTTCCTAAGCAGAATTCCAAGTTAAATTTGGAAATTTCTTCTCATTCTCTATTACCACAGGAACCTCTTTCTGCCTCCCTGAACAGCTTGCTTTTACATGAAGATGCTCCTTGTTTGAATATACAAGAACAGTTAATGCCTTCTCCAAGGCTTTTTATTACAGAGCCAATTAAAGATGTTAATAAGTCTCTAATTTCAGAATCTAATCAACCCAATACTTCATCTCATAGTATATCTGTGATTGCTAATCTACATTTGAGCACCATTGACTGGGAAGATACTTCTTTTAGTAATTCTCCAGATAATCAAAGGGCTACATTCTCTCACAACTTAAAACCAGAACTTCAAGCAAAGCTAGCAGCCATCTCTCATGGCTTTGAAAATATCCCGGAACAATTCCCATGCGAATCAGAAAATTGCACCACAAGCAATAAAGTGTTGGGTGGGGATCTTCAGAAGATTAGTCCTGAAGAGCATCTTCTCTCTGGTATTACTAATTTATATCTTCAGGATTTGCCTTTAAAGGAACGAATAAATATAAAATTAGCACATGCCAAAAGCAATGCACAACCAGATGTGGGCCTCAAAACAGTATCCTTATCAAGGGAAAAAAAATCACACAGGATTAATAATAATTTTGCTTGTCCATTGCATCTTTCAAATGATCTTGCAGGAATTCAGTTGCAAAATGAGTCCAGAATCTCTGAAGTTCTAAAAGGAGACCAGCTGTTTCAAGAAAAGTATAAGATGAATACTTCTCTACCACATACTGTCAATAACCCACTAGTAAAGACCTCCAATGTTCACATCGGGCCACCAACTACTGCTTTAGATCACAGTAGAAAAGACAAGCAAACCACTAAGAAAATTGTGAAGAGTAGTGTTTGCCTTGACAAATACTCCTCTGATGAAGAAAGTGACCCAACGTTTTGGAAAGCAAAGAATACGACTCGAAACGTAAAGCCCAGTACTCAGAAAAATAACCCCCAATTGAAAGAAAGTGGCTACAACAAATTCAGTAGTACTAAAGAAACTGAACTGCCTGTTGTATCTTATAAGACAGCTAGAAATGAAGAAAACTGTTTTCCAGATACAGTAAAAAGTTATCAGAGTTTTTTTAAGAAAGATGATGATCCTGAAACTTGTTTGGATAGTCCTCTTCCTTTACGCCAGCGATTAAAACTAAGGTTCCAAAACACTTTAAATGAAATTTAAAAGAAATAAATACAACATACTCTATTGCTGTTGGCATTAGCAGAAGCATGATATCTGATTTTTAGTAGAAAAGTTAATATGATTTTATATGTCATGAAACATCCATTTTAATCAAATTGTAATTTAAAATGTTAGTGACAACTCCAGATAATGTATTTTAAGACATTTTTTACCATTTAAAAATATGCTCATTGGGCTGGGAAGGTAGCTCAGTGGTAGAGTGCTTGCCTTGCATGCATGAGGCCCTGGCTTTGATTCCTCAGTACCACTTAAGCAGAAAAAGCTGGAAGTGGCACTGTGGCTCAAGTGGTAGAGTGCTAGCCTTGAGCTGAAGAGCTGAGGGACAGCACCCAGGCCTCACAACCAACAAAAAGTTTATACATATATATATATATGTATGCTTATAGATTATGCTTTATAGTTTAAAATATTAATAATTATCTGACAGAATAAATGTTATCCATTTGTTCAATTTTACTTTTCCTTCTCCAATCCTCTGAAGCATTTGTTTCCAAGAAGGTAACTCTTCATTGCCATCTTCCTGTACCTTCTATTATACTGTTTTCTTTTTTTTTTTTTTGGTCGGTCATGGGGCTTGAACTCTGGGCCTGGGCGCTGTCCCTCAGCTCTTCAGCTCAAGGACAGCGCTCTACCACTTGAGCTACAGCGCCACTTCTGGTTTTCTGGTGGTTTATTGGAGATAGGAGTCTCACTGTCTCTCCTGCCCGGGCTGGCTTTGAACCTCGATCCTCAGATCTCAGCCTCCTGAGTAGCTAGGATTACAGGCATGAGCCACCAGCGCCCGGCTATTATACTGTTTTCTCTCTGAGTATACCTTTACTTTACTCTCCCACCTTTGATAATATTATTCTCCATAGTAAGGGACAAAATGAAAACGAGAAGATGGTCAATTGAAAAAAGAGGTTTGTGATCGCTGAATAAACTGAGGAAAATTACTCTTTATATATCCACAGAAATTCATAGATATTGCAAGTAGAAAAAGATTTGGAAAATTAAATGTATAACCAGAAAAGGATTGAAAACCTACTGAGGATCACATAGCTAATGAGTAACACAGTAATGTTATGGGAACTATTCTTCTAATTCTGTGGTATATTCTACTTTTAATTTTTCCTATAGTACATTTTTCTTCTCCTTTTCTTTAAAAAAAAATCTATACATGACTTACATTAATACTGATAGCGATTGTTTTGTAAAAATTCCAAAAAGGCATCCACATATGGAAACAAAGCCTTATTGGCAAATGATAAGATTTTGAATATTGGAAAACCTAAAGAATCCATTAAAAGAAATCTATTGAAGCTGATAGATGGGTTCAGCAGGACATAATGTTACTTAAAAATCAGTTTAAAACAAAGAAAATACTTTAGAAATACTTTGCTGATCTTCGGTTTTAATGCAGTATCATTTGATGCTGGTTTTTATAGAAACTGGCAAGCCAATTCTAACACATGGAAATTTAAGAGACAGAATATTTGGATGATCTTGAAAAGAAATCAAGGGCTCCCCCTTCCTGATTTCAAAACCAAATGCCAAGTTAATGAAGATCACGTAGTGGCTCTTAGAGTCCAGAAATTTACCAATGTATACATGTATACAAATGTATACAATTGGTAAATGCTACTGGGATTATTAGCTGTTCACATGATTAATCCCTGCCCTGTACTATAATTAAAATTGCATCAAAAAACTTTGAGCTAACATTGTGAGACAACTAAAAACAGACAAATTGTGACTTTGGGTTACACAGTTTTCTTAAAAACAGCACTAAATCCATATGCAAAAAAAATAGTAAATTAACTTCATCAAAACATTCATGTTTCAAAGGACACCATTATGTAACAAGACACAGCCTTGATGATTCACTTCTGAAATCCAAGCTACTTGAGATGATTGCAGTTCCATTTGAGGCCAGCCCAAGCCCAAAAGGTTATTTTGACCCCATCTCAACAAACAAGGTGTGGTCGTACACATCTGTGATTCCAGCTATGCAAGAGGTATAGGTACAAAAATGCAACTGTCTAGCCTAGGCAAAACATAAATCCCTATCTGAAAACCAAGGGGAAAAATTATTCTACAGATGTAACTGAAGTGGTAGTGTCTGCCTAGCAAGCATGAAGTCCTCAATTCAAACCCCAGTATTGGCAAAAAAAAGAAAAGAAAAATTAACATTTTAAAATGGGAGGAAATATTTCCAAATCATAGATATGAAAAGGGATTTATATAAACTTAATAACAAAACTAACAAAAATGAGTAAAGTATCCAAATATATACTTCATTAAGATACATAAAAGCCACATAAGTATACTTAATATACTTAACAATTCCCTTCACCATAAGTCATCACAAAAGTGCAAACCAAAAACATCATGCCCAGTAAGATGGCTGAAATGTTCAATATGAAGAAGGTAATGATGTGAAGAATTGGAACCCTCATTACCTGCTTTTGTGATAAGGACAAAATGGGGCAGCCACTTAGCCTAATCCTCAAACCATTAGTCACAGTCACCCAGAAGTTCTCCCAAGCATATCTCAAAGTGAAATGAAAATATGTACCCATATCAAAACTTATGCATAAACATTCATCCATAACATTACTCATGATAGTCAAGAGAGAAGTAATCCAAATTGCCAAGGAAAAGGAAGCCTATATGTATTGAGTACTGACTGGGGCTGAGTATAAGTACTCGATTAAATTCTATATAAAATTCTTATGACCTCTATAACTCTATGGTGCTATATTGTAATGTTTTGATTACTCAAGGATAAAAGTCCCATTAAAACATTTTCCTAGATGTCTGCCTTGGTTTGTCATCCATTATCCTGGATAGATATTTTAGAATCATCCAGTCTAGGCAGAGACAATATTTAGAGTTTCATGAGTTTTGTTTTTTAGATGAAAATAGCAAGAGTGAAATCTAGATTCATTTTGTTCTAAAACTCATCCAGGCATAAAATGTATGCACTCATATCACCTTTTACTTTTCAGGGAATTGTCTAGTTCAGACCAATCCTTTTACAGAATACTGATTCCTGGATGATCTTGTTACTTGTGTGTTTTTTTTTTTTTTTATCATACATTGCTTTTAATGTTTTTAGTGCTTCATTGGCTCTCTTGTCTCTGAAATACTTTGCTCAAGATCTGCCTCAAGCTACTCAGAACTTGGAACTGTTCTGGTTTTGGTTTTTGTTTTTCATTTGTTTTGTGTATTAGTGCCCTGTTCAAGTCTGCCTAGCCTAGGTTTCATAAGATCAGTCTTTAGTTCTTGGGATTTTGTTTTTCTTCGAAAGTTCACACCGAGAAAGGCCTTTTTTTTTTGGCTCATGCCTAGCTTTAGGCACTTTTCTGATAGGTTTTTCTCACGACACCAAAGTTCTTTCCTAACTTATATAAAACTCTTTTATATAACTGTATACCATTTCTTATGTGACAGACATTGGACTGGGCACTAGAGATTCAATGGTAAATTGTGTCCTATAAGGCTGCTTATGTTTAGAGCACACCCGCCTCCACTGGAACATTAAGATACTCTGTAAATGATAGCTGCGTTGGTTAACATCATTTGGAAGAATAAAATAACTTTCAGATCTGATTTCAGGTCAAATACAGACAAATACTGCCCTTTGGGTAAAAATGTGATTATTATAACCCTTTGTTTGGAGGTAGTATGGCGGTGTCAGAGGAGGTGTTTTCAACAAATAGGAAACTTTCTTGGGTAACACTCAAAGATTCTAAACGGTAACTTTTGAACTAAGGTTAATACTAGGGAAAAAATGTACTTGCTGTAACCCGTATTAACCCAGTAACCTAACATAGTTATTGAGTACATGCTTTATGCAAAGTTCAAGCTTTCTGTATGTAACATGCTGGTGCCCCAATGAATTTTCAATACCTTCTCTAGGCCACCCAACTAGAAAAGGGTGGAACTAGTCCTCAAATTTTATTGATAAAGATAATTCCCTATATTTATGTTTTCATGCTTCATTCACTTTTTGCCTCATATATCACCTCACAGTCTTCTTTTTTTTCTTCTCTGTTACTCCACCCTGCTCCAGTTATATTTTTCTTTTTTTTGGGGGGGGGGGTCTGGTCGTGGGGCCTGAACTCTGGGCCTGGGCCACAGCGCCACTTCCGGCTTTTTTTCTTTTTGCTTATGTGGTGCTGAGGAATTGAACCCAGGGCCTCAGGCATGCAAGGCAAGCGCTCTACCACTGAGCCACCTTCCCAGCCCCCTTTTCTTTACACTTTCTAGTGTCTGGCATAAATGTTATGTGGGTTGTTTGGGAGTTTACTATTATCATTATTATTATTATTATTTTGTCCTTTTACCATCTATTTCCCAAACTAGAATATAAAGTTAGTGAAAGCAAAGGTTTTAGCTCTTTGGTTTTCACAATAACTACTAGATGTATGGATGACTTTCCCCATCCCACTCTACCAGCAGTAGTACTTGTAGCGTAATGGGGCTTCTACAAGGTAGGAAGCATAATTCCACTCTTCTGAGAATGTGTCAGTTTCCTTGTCCCCCATTCCCACCCAATGATAAGACATCACTAGGCATAGGGATCAAATCAGATTCTCGTTCTCTCAGAGCCCTGCTGAGAATTTAGTACCTATTTCTGCTTCATCTATTCTTCCTTACTCATTAACGACTAGAGTGTAAACGGTCTTCTCTAGCAGATTTATATTGCTTCTATTGCTGCTATTATATATTATATATTTCTCTCAACCATTACCTGCAAATGATGTTGCCTTGATTTGCATTTTTGTCTCCCACACCAGACTGATAACTCATCTTGTATTTCTAATCTGTAGCATCCAATAGAGGGACCTGTCAGAGCATTCAGTGAGTGCAGGCTGATTGACTGGTAGTGAATTCAGTGTCTTTAGTTCTTTGGCTCCTTGTGAGGAGACACCAAAGCCAACTGGATGATTCCCTCCTTCAGCTTGATCACTAGTCACCTTTAGGTGTCTTAAGATGCCCTGGTGAGATGCTTGCTCTCTGAAAGTGAAGGA